CACATACATTATTTTATAATAACATTAATGGTGTGGACCATATATATTTATAACACTCCCCCTTGAATGACTATTTTCTAAACATATTTGAGTCATTATTTGAACAAAGCCCAATCTGCACATCTTTAAGTATATCTTGTGGCCATCAGGTACCGTTGCTTTAGCGTATCAGGAAAACCCGGTGGGACAAAACCTGATCATCTTGAAATCATATCATTTCTTCCTCAGAAAAACCCGGTGGTACAAAACCTGAGCATTGTGGAAGCACAACATTGCTCCCCCTCAAATAGATCATCTTTAATGGAGATCCATGTGCTGCCTCATTAAAACCTTGTCAAGAAAACCCAGTGGGAAAAAACTTGATCGAAGGAAAAAGAGCACAGCTACTCCAGACTTTTCTCATCATCATGAGGAATCATATCAATTATCCAGTAGTCCTCAACTCCTCATTATACCATGAATATGCCTCGTTAAAACCTTATTAGGAAAAACCCAGTGGGACAAAATCCTAATGAAGGAAAAAGAGTACACTATTCATGTGAATACGCTATCCCTGTTGCCTCATTAAAAACCTTGCTAGGAAAACCTAATGGGACAAAACCTCAGTCAAGGGAAAAAGAGTACAACGCGTATTCCATATATTCATCATAATAACCCTTCCATAATTTTCATATAGATTCATTCAGATTTTCTGATACTGATGGTTATTCATGATAATATGTCATATCATGGTTTGTGCAATTTTCAATCTTAAACTCTTTCTCATCTACAACTGATTTCAATGGTCTTACTGCCAATAGTTCCCAATATTCACATTTTAGCTGACTTAATTCTCGTCAATATCATTTATATAGCGCTATTCATTTGTTTATGTCGACACATATTCATTTCCATTATTCCCCGTAATATATTGAGATATTTCGTTATCAATTAATTTCATCGATAGTATGTATATGCCTCCTTTCATCACTTATTTGGGGAATTTCAATTTACACAATACCAACGCTTCCAGCGTATCTTTCCACTATCATATCATTTCATATATTTCACCACCATCAGTATCATTCAGTTTATGATTTGCACACTTTTAGTGTGATGCATATATCATTTCCAAAATTTCAATAATTGATTCTCCCCCTCATCTTAACAGATCCCCGATCTGTATTTTCAGTATTGAGTTTCTTGAGGGGAGTTCATATAATCTCCTTCGTTCTCGATTTCAACATATAATAGGAGGACTTTTAACTCATATCACTTGTAATGTGCACATTTTTCTTTCATGAGTTCATCATATGAGCTGATTATATTACTAGCTTAATCACTTTCATATGACACTTATTTTCATTCTTTCATTGCCATCTTGTGTCATTCTTTGATCAAACCATCTCGTAACTTCAGGTTACGTGTCATATTACACAATCAAATCATCTCGTAACTTCAGGTTATGGATCACGCACATGTGGCTATCTGGTGGATCCATAATATCTAGTAGCACACATGGAGGGGTAGTGGGCCCATATATATACCGTACCCCTTTCATACTCAGTTTGATCAAAAATTGATTCACAAATATTTAGCCAGTAATAATTTCACCAATCGAGAACAAAGTATCTCATATCACAAAGAATCAGTTAATCATTCAAACCATCATCATTTATATAAGTAAATATCACAATAATTCATTGTGACCCATTTATCACAAACGTATCACATCATCATTCGGCGGCAATAAATGCACTTCAAGTGCAGATTCTGACCCACAATATTTAATTCAGAATCGTATCACATGCATATCTTTACTTCTGTAGCACAAACTCTCTATTTTTAGAGTCGTATAACATACGCATCATTTCTATAAATTATTAAGCAATCTATTCAATATTTTTGAACAAAGGTCCGAATTTACAAATGGATTTGGCACTCTCAAATATCCGTAAATATTATTCTTTTCTCCCGTTAAATATCATAAAAAGGATTTATCGATCTCGATTAGAAAGATTGAGGGTGTTAATGATTAATGATATTTCA